ATGCTGTGGAGCCTTTGTTATTAGTGGAGAAGGAATAACCTATTTTCCAAACTTTTTCTTTTTCTGTTGGAACTGCTCACTCTTTACAAGGCCTATCTACTAGGGTTGGGGTGCTGATTAAAGCCTGCAGACAGAGAAGGTTTACCGTTATAAAGACCAGAAAATCACGTTTGCTCTGACTTCTAAGTTTATTTGCTAACATATATACTTGTAGACTGATATATGTGAGACATCAAGGTTAAATAGATTACAAGAAAAAATCTGAATGACGGATAATTTGTTTCCGGTCTGAGGCTACTGGTTGCCCTCTGTCTTCTAAAGGTAATCACAGAGACCGAGGGAGTTGAAACTAAGGCTTTATATGCTGAGGGAAGAGGCCTGAGGCAGACGTGAGCAGGCCTTCAAATCCAATTTGCACCCAAATTGGCCGGTAGGATATACAAAGCCCCATCCAGAGACTTTCAACTTGCACAATGCTCTGTCCAGGAGCCTCCTCCCCCTTCATTTCAGCTAGTAGTTCTAAAAAGAACCCATTGCTGATACAACCATGGACTACTGAATACAGAGTGCACGCTTCCTTGAATAAGCCTGATTTATTTATTTATATATGTATAAAATATCTCCCTATCCTGATAAAGTGAAATTAAAATTATTAAAATAAATCAAAACTCACATCCTCAAAAATTGCAAATAACCTTTCATTAGGGGACTAGATTCTTAATATTAACATATAAAACAATTATATTTAGCCCTATACAAACATCCTCATTTGAGAGAGTTGCGTTCATGCAATCCTCAAAGTAATATAAGACATTTTTTAGTTAGCATGCAAAACATTTTCCCAGTCAGTAAGAGCCTCTGGCATATAAAATCAGATTACTGCAGCTCTCATTAGCAAACCCCAATTTTTGCTACTTGAAAGTAAACAGAAGAAAAACTTATTTTCACCTGCTAAAATCTTATGCAAGATTACTAAACAATGCACACACAGCTCTGACCTAAGAAACACCTTAAAACATTAAAAATTCATCAGCCAAAGCTGGTGTTGTATTCAAGAAATGCTCCTCCAGTCTGCTGCAGAGCTCAGATTTGAATAAAATGTCCAATGTTAACAAACAATACCCACGTTTGGCACTTTGTGTATTAAATTGATCAAACAGATTTTAGGAGGCACAATGCACAATTTGTACAGACCTGATTGAGTTAATATAATATCAGCAAATTTTACATCGAAATGATTCTGTTTCTTTTCTTTGTGTTTAAAACCAGCACAGATTACAAATTTTAATGATCTGAAAATGTTTGGTATACAAAATCATGCTTATTTCAGTATTAGCAAAAACACAAGAAATTTTTCAACACAAACACCCAGCTGTGTCTATTTTAAAAGCAGTTCAATGACAGCTTGCACTTATGAGCATGCAATCAGCTAATTTCGCTTTTTTTTTCTTCTGTGTTAATCAACACTTTCCTTCCTGCATATCAGAGTACAAATAGTATAGTTACTCCACATCAGTAAATGTTTACGTAACCTGTCCTTTCCCAAGAATCCGGTTACACCGAATCATTTCACGCTAGACCGACTACGAAAACGTACCGGGCAGTCCACCTCAGAGGGAGCCCTGTGTGCCATTCTAAGTGGTGGTAAGAAGGGGGGCCAGTGGGGGAGAAACGAGGAGTAGGTGGAGGAATGGAGAGAGGAGGCGAATGGAGGGAGGAGGGAAGAGGTGGGGGGAGTGAACGGGAAGGAGGGAGAAGGAGGGGAGGAGGGAGGAAAGAGAGTTGAGGAAAAGTAGGAAGAACAGGCCTGGCCAGGGGACAGGAGCTGAAGGAGAAGAAGTAGAAGGAAGCGCAAGGCCGGCGGACCTCTCCAGCCTTGTGCAAAGCCCACCCCTCGCCCAGCGCTGAGATAACCTGAGCTTAGAAACAACATTTGTCATTTGTGGCCACATCACCCATCAATGCCGATTTGTAAAACGCTAGATATTTCCATATGTAAATATAGTTTGCAGTAAAGTAGGGAGATATCTATACATAGGAAATATGTACACGCAGTGAAAGTATATTTGCGGCCAGTCCAATATTCAACGGTCCTTTCAGGCATTCCTAATAGATGCATATTTATCTCTCTCCCTCTCTCTCTCCCTCTCTCTCTCTTTCTGTCTCTCTCTCCCTCTCAGTTGGGGGGTGGGGAGAGTGAATAATCCCCTATTATTCTGAGTATTCATCTATTGTATTTTTTACCTTAGAATTTAACATCATTCAGAGAAACCACTTTTCCTTCCTGTTTTCTTTGATACCAAATCTGTCAACTCCTTTAACTGAAGAGTTTATCAAAGCAAACAAATGCTTATATTTTATGATTACCTGACAGGGGAGAGGAAAGGTGCTTTTCATTTATGCTTCGCCACCTCCTAGTTCTCCTGGGCTACATCCTCCGTAAAATGCAGTATGTTTCCTGCCCATGTGGGATGAAACAGCCTTTGATCAGTGTGCTCCGCACTAAATTCCAATCCCTGGGAAATGCTGGGCCTTAGCCCTGCCCCTGGCCACGGGATCCTTTTAAAGCCCCCGAATCACAATCTTCCCACTCACTTCAACCTTCTACTGAACCTTCCCAGTTCCGAAGCCCGAGAAGCTGGGACCGCGCGAGCCGCGTTACCAAGGTTCCTACGGGCCTTGCCGCAGCACTCAGGGAGAGCAAGGGCTGACTTCGCGTGCTGATATTTTAGGACTGCAGTCTTTACAAAATAAAGCGTTTGCGAAATGAGAGGAGTGAAGGGCGAGTGAATATTGGCAGGTTTAAAAAAAAAACATGGAAAGAAATAGACGCCCACTCTTACTTTCCCTTCAATGTCAACAAGCAAAATGAAAATATTTCCAAGGTGATCGCTCTCGACTACTCGCCTCCGATTCTGATTCGAAGCGGAGCGAACTCCGCGGCCGCGAGGAGCACAGCCTCGAGTCAGCCCGCGGAGGGAAGGTCTCCGAGCCAGAGAAAGGAAAGGAAGAGACGCACGTAGAGAGCATGTGTTACCTGGTTTATTTCAAGACTGTTTGGGACTGTGTTCTCTCTGGGCACCGCGCATTTCGGAAGGCCAGCAGAGGCGCCCACCACTGAGACGCCCCTGCCCGCCGCCGCAGCCCCCGGAGCCGCGGGCCCGGCTTCCCCGCCGCCCACAGCCCGGAGCCCGCCGCCTTCCGGGCCGCAGGAAGCGAGTAAGTAACCCCGCTGGGCCCGGCGCTGCTGCCCACCTCCTCTTCCTCCTTCTGCTCCCCCCAGGGGCCCCAGCCTCTCCCTACCGCCTTCCCCGCGGCTAGGGCGCCCCTCGCACACACAGGCCGGGCGGCCTCGCGCCCCGGGCGCACAGCTCCGGCTGGAACTGCGCCTGCGACCCGGGGCACAGTTTCGCTGCGGGCTCAGAAATGCCAGCGCCGGGCCTGCAGGGCCGACTGGGAAAGCAGGGCCTGGCCTCCTCCTCCGCGTCCTGCACTCCGCCTGCATCCTCTGCCTGCGCTCCCACTCTTCCGTGCACCGCCCCGCATCCCCTCCACCACCCCCGCTTTTAAACATAAAATCGGATACGAACTTTAATCAATAAGCACAAATACTGACGCTCTAGCGCCAATGCCCAACACCGGGAGGAGGCGGCGGGCTAGGGGAGCTCCCCGCGTGCCCCGGGAGAAGGCCCGGCGGCCCGGAGCGGAGCGCGGGGAGTGGCTGGGCGCGGAGCGGGGC